GCTATTAGCAGCACTTGATGCTCTTTCTCTCTTCTCCTTTATCAAGGCTTGCTTTTTATAACTTCTCTTTTGCATAAAAAAGTAATACATTAATAGTAAATTAATCAAAACAAGACTAGATGTTGCAAATATATGACTCCACAATTCACCTGCTAACGGTTCATACACTGATTCTCGGAGAAAACTATTAGACACAGACAAGAGAAGGAAAATCAACCAAAACAAGGTTGCATGTACCATCATTATAGATCGTTCCATTTTCTACTATTATTCCGATATAATTTAAATTATGATGATGATATGAAGATGACGATGATGATGTATTAATAATACGTGTGTTGTATTCAAAATTGAAAAAAAGCTTCACGAAGTAAGTTGAGTATTTTTTTGTTAAATTTTTGTTTGTAGCCTTTTTTGCAATTTCGGAATTTAATTTCCATTCTCATTCGAATTGGGAGAATTGGAACACGAAAATTAAAATGTTAATAAATAATATTCAATAAATAGCAAGTAACATTCCAAAAATATTTAAATTTAAACAATTTTTTTTTACAATGTATTTAGGAAATCAAATGAAATATCACTCAATTCTGAGGATTGACTTGCTTGACGAAGCATTGCAATCATGTAGGTTTTTCCTTTTGACATGGCTTTGAAATGGATGATTAAAATGTAGATGAATAGATGAAATTACTTACCACCATCAGCAAAATAGACAATCATGTGTTGAAATCCTCCTGTAACAAATGGTGTCTTGTTTGAGAATTTCCTACATAATTCCTCTAATTGAGTACTTCTTTTTACACCTTGACTAGTTTCCATGACTGCTCCCAATTGATTGTTGGAATTATTTCCACAAATGAGTACTTGTCCTGAACGAGTAAGGATAATGGTTTGATAGGTGTGAATACCAACATTGGTAATTTCCTTATAGCACAAATCGTGATTCATTGTCCAATTAGAAACTCTTGAGCTTGGAATTCCAGTCTCACCTGAGCCGTTATCTCCCCAACAATAGACTTCATCTTGTGATGTTATTGCAATGCCGGAAAGTGATCCACAAAAAATCTTGGAAACAGGTGCATCAATATTCATTCTGGTCCATGCTGAAGTTGAAGCATTTTCAACTGATTGACCAATACTATACAAATGTCCTCTTCCTGTTGTTGAAAATTAATCTCAAATTCAATAATTCACAACAACATACTATNTACAACCATTGTGT